AAAAAAAAAAATTGAAACCGCCTATGGAAGGCAAAGAAAAAAAGAAAGGTGTATCTTGCTTTGAAAGGTAGATACACAAAAGGTATGCTGCCCGGCTGAATCTGGAGTACAAGGACCGGTAGTGGTAACACGTAGTGTCCGGATGCTAAGAGAATTGGTTCGATTCCCATCCGGTTCAGAAGAATTTTCGAGAAAAGGCCCGGTTCACAACACACTTCACGACAGTGGGCTTTTTCAGCGTGAACGAGTAATGTGAACAAGAATGGTTCTGTTTACTCGGATGCTATAGCATCACTACTGGAGGTCAGACATGGCCAAAGTACCGGCACACATGGTCTTTCAAGCTAATACGTCGCTGAGTAGACTGCTTCCAACTGTAACAAAAGTAAACCTGGTATAGAGGAACTTTCAGATTCGTGGTGAACACTGGTCTCGTCACTGTCATCATCGTCATCAAAGTGTTCGTTGCTTCTGCCCACCGTTTCATCGTCTGCATCAGTTGGCAGTATTCGGACAACACTACCAGATTTTACTCGCACTTCATCAGGCAAAATAGTACCAGCAGTGTTCATACTGGAAGTAGTGGTAGCACTAGCAGCTTTCAGAATAACGTTCACTGTAGAAGCAGTTGGGGAGGCAGCAGGAGGGAACGAGCTAGAGGACACAGTATTGGCTGTTTCTGGATCGAGAAGTCCGTCAAAATCATCGTCCTAAAAGGAATTATATAATACCATAAGCAGGAAGCACATATTACCGGCTAAAATCTGATATTTTCATGCTATTGAGGCAATTATTTTGCTGGAAAGCGTTACAAAGAATTTCCGCAAAAAAGCGTTACAAATGATTTTCTTTCCAAAGTCGCTCTCCCAAAACTTACTGGATGGTGACTGCCGTGCAGCTGAAAATCTGTTTCTCCGTAAGCGTACCTCTTGATGTCGCTCCGAAGACGGTCCAAATGCCGAGCGAAAGACAAATGATTTGTTCCTGGATCCTGAAATCAATTTCCTAGAAAAACAACGTGTCGCAAATTGAGCCATTTTCGCAAAGATTATGCACCATGAGGGAATCAAACAAATCTTCATTTTCTCCAAATGCTTCGAATCGTGATGTGTTACCCATTACACTGTCGGCCCTTCTGATCCACATCGCAGCTCGCCACAGAAAAACAGAAACAAAACAGTGTACCTCGAAATAGGCTTTTGCAGAGCAATTTCCGTAGCATTCATCTGCTGTATCGAAGCGGTTGTCATTGCCATCACAACCTCCGTACAAGAAAGGCCGACACTTGTGACTCGCTACATCGTAATAATACTGTTTCACGGCTGCTCTAGAAAAGTAAGTGCTGATTTCTTGTCCGTGGATTGTGTCAAACATAAGACAATTTAAAATAAGACAGTTAAAATTTCCTATTTTGTCTATGTGCCAGTAGTCTATTGCGAACTAATAATTTTAAGTTATGATGAAATGATTAATGACTGTTCACCTAACAGCAACACAAATCCGGCGATCAAGTAGTAGAGACTCAAATTTTTGTGAACTTTTCGCGAAAATCACTAACCTGCAAGGTCCGACTTCTTTGGAAAGTAAACAACGTTTCGTTTTCCAGCTTCCTTCATCGGTTAACACAGAATCTGAAGGCTTTTAAAATGATCAATTTTAAACGATCAAAACGCAATGTGAAGTTTTTTCCACTGCAAACAACATTGAGTTTAGGGGCAAATACGATTACTGCAAAAATTTAAACGTATTTCGTAAACTTGGCTAATTTACCTCTAAATATTTTGCACAGTTTTAATATTATGTAAAAAATTTGACGACGGAAAATAAAAATAAAAGAAAAATAATGGCACTGTGGAAGGAATTGTGAGCAGTTGGATCAAGCAAGAGTGAAAGAAAGCACGGCAACTCTGAATGCAAGTGTGTTATCCTCTCACTATGTTTAAGGTTTTAATCTCAACAAGAATAAATAGTAGCAGTGAAGAAAGAACGTACGAAGTATAGTGCCAAGGCAACTGCAGGAAGGAGGAAAGGGGCAGCAGAAAGTAGATGTTTGTCTTTTTCTAACTTTTAAATTCAGTCCCAGTTTTTATGCGTTTTGTGCCGTGTAGGAGCAGTACAAAACGCATATTGTCACGGGATTGACTGTGTGTGTGTGT